AGATTAGTTTTAAGGGTTTTTTTTTCCTGTAACTTTCATATTAATACAAAGGGGATGGGGGTTACAACACCCCCCCATCCCCACCTCTTACCCCAAAAATCTGCCCGGGGAAAACTTTTTTCCTGCCCGGGCAAGCGGATTCTTGTGCGTACCAGACCCCTCAGGGACTGCGGTTTGCGTATATACTCTAGCGTTTATACAGCAAGCGTACAAAACGCTAAACGCGTATATTCCAACTTAGCTGGTGCACTGGGGAGGAAAATGAGTGAGAGAGTGGATGGAGGGAGAGGGAGGGGGAGAGGGAGGTTGGTTGAGGTGTAAAGAGAGAATCAGAGGGAGCAGAAGCAGGTAATTGCTGTCACGGCTTGTGCTCTCTACCTGGAGTTCGTTCACAACTGGTGCGCTGGGGATCAATGGAAAGTGGATAGTGAAAGCGGGAAGGGGAAAGGAAGGGTAGGCTGGCTGTCACGGCTCGTGCTGTCACAACTGGTGCGCTGGGGAGGGGGTTGTGGAAGCGAGGGGCGTATGGAATGAGAGAGTGGACAGCAGAAGAGAGGGGAAAGGGGAGGATAAGAAAGAGAGAGCCAGGGGGGGGAGAAGGAAGGGTGGATGGATGGAGGTTGGTAGTGTTGCCACAGCTCTGCACTCTCACCAGCTCTACTCCTGCTGCTTACCTTCGCCCCATGCTTGTCGTTATGCATCTTCCTCCTCTTCTTTCCCCTTCCCCCAGTTGTACCTGGTATGGCAGGTACCTGTCAGTGTGAGGCAAGCGCATGGGGGGTGGGTCGGTGCTGTTCATAGCGGAAGGAAGGTAGAGAAGGATACCCCCCCTCGCCTCCCTTTCCCCCCCAACCCCCTTCTCCCGGCTCTGGCACGTGCCAGGTACCTGTCAGTGCAGGGCAAGCGCATGGGGGGCGGTTGCTGTTCACATCACAATAGAGGGGTTGAGAAAACGTCTCCTTTCCCCTTTCCCCAACCCCCCCCCACCCCGCCCACCTCCCTTTTGCACCTGGCAGGTACCTGTCAATGCAGGGCAAGCGCATGGGGGGCGGGTGCTGTTCACAGCAGCGGGATTGAGGAAACGTCCCCTCTCCCCCTTCCCGACCCTCCCATCCCCCTCACCTCCCCTTTGCACCCGGCAGGTACCTGTCGGTTCGGGGAAAGCGCATGGGGCGGCGGGTGCTGTTCATTGCTGAGGATTACCACTCCTTCCGCCTGCTCAACCGCCAGTTCCCCATGCAGACCGCTCTCATCGTGACACCCAAGGGCGACCAGGTGGGTTGAGTAGTTGTGCGGCCCACACACACATAGCTCACACATGAAGCACACACGTACAGCTGCAAGGACTACCACTCCTTCCGTCTGCTGCACTGCCGGTTCCTCATGCAGGCCGCTCTCATTCTCACGCCCAAGTGTATGAAGAAGTGTTTTGAGACGCCTCAAAACGCTCTTATTCTCACGCCCAAGGGCGACCAGGTGGGTGTGAATCGTGATGAGAACGCACTTTGAGAGTCTGAGATGTCTCAACTTCTTATTAATCATTACTCTCGATACGAGCGCCACACGTTTTCGAGAATAATGAAAGCAGCCAGTTGATTGGGCCATGGCTCCCCAATATTATGGTTTTAGTTTTGAGTCGACTCAAAACTTGGGCCATGGCTCCCTAAAACCATAATGTTGGCCATGTTTTTAGGGTCGATGCACTTTCCAGAGCGACACATGTCAATCATGTCATGTCAGTTCACTTTGCATGTCTCTCTGCCCGATCTTTGAGGCGCCTTGAAAAGGGTCGATGCACTTTCCAGAGCGACACATGTCAATCAAGTCAGTGCGATAATAAGAGAAATAAATGCTTATAAACCCAGATGTTATAAAAATATTAAATTGATTATTCTCTGCCCGTGCCTCGGTGCTGCAGACAGCAGGCATTGAGGACCGGCGCCCATGGCACTTCCTTCGCCTTCTCCAACACAATGTCTCCTTCCTCTACAATGTAAGCCCCGCCTCGCCCTGCCCCGCCCTGCTGTACAATGTGATGAGCCCTGCCCACTTTTGAGACGTCTCAAAACTCATTTCCGTCTCCTTGAGACGTCTCAAAACATCACTTTTGAGACGTCTAAAAAAATCCAACAATGTCTCCTTCCTCTCAATGTAAGCCCTGCCCTGCCCTGCCCTGCCCTGCCCTGCCCTGTCATCTGCTTGACCACTTACCACCTCCCTCCCCCCTCCTCCCCCCAAACACATCAGGACCCAGACATGGTGTGGCTGCAGCTGCTCTTTGGGTACTTCAACGGCGACTTCGACCTCTGGGCCGCCTCTTCCGCCGCCCTCCCTCCCCCCACTTCTCCCCCCCTCTCCCTCCTCCCCATACATCAGGATCCAGACATGGTGCGGCTGCAGCTGCCCTTTGGGTACTTCAATGACGACTATGACCTCTGGGCCGCCTCTTCCGCCCCCACCTTTGACACCAATGCTTAAACCCCGCACCCCTCTCCCCATCCCCTTCCTGCTCACATCATCAGGATCCGGACATGGTGTGGCTGCAGCTGCCCTTTGGGTACTTCAACGGTGATTTCGACCTCTGGGCAGCCTCTTCCGCCCCGACCTTTGATGCGCCTCAGCAGCCCACCGACGATGCCGCCCCCACCACCACCAACCACCACCTCCTCCGCCCCACACCTCTCCCACCCAACCAACCGCTCTCCACCGCTCTGCTCTACTTCCGCGCGTCCCCAGGCGCCAGGGCTGCGGTGCAGGCGTGGCAGGCAGAGCTTAAGTTTATTGTCATGAAGACGAGAAAGTTGGGTGTGCCGATGAACCAGAGCGAGGGCGCGTTCAATCGCGCGGTTCGAGGGGTCGGGAGTGCTGCTAGGGTCGCGCTGCTGCCGCAGCTGCTGTTCCCGTCGACGGCCCTGTATTTCAGGTGGGTCGGTCAGAGAGGGCATGCTGCCGGGCCTGTTTTTCTATGCTAAAAAATCGCTGCTGCAGCTGCTGATCCCGTCGACAGAGCTGTATTTCAGGTGGGTCGGAGAGTGCTGAAACGGCTTAAAACTGCAAATGACTTTAGAGACGTCTCAAAGGTCTTCTTTACTTTAGTTGAGTCGGAAAGTAATGAAAAATCTCAATACTGCAGGTCCGCCAGAGAGTGCTTGCTGCTGTCTGGTATGTTTGGGTTGAGGAGGTGCGAGAAAATGTGGTGAGGGATGTGGCTGGGAGGTGTGGCTGGGAGGTGTGGCTGGGAGGTGTGGCTGGGAGGTGTGGCTGGGAGGTGTGGCTGGGAGGTGTGGCTGGGAGGTGCGGCTGGGAGGTGCGGCTGGGAGGTGCGGCTGGGAGGTGTGGCTGGGAGGTGTGGCTGGGAGGTGTGGCTGGGAGGTGCGGCTGGGAGGTGCGGCTGGGAGGTGCGGCTGGGAGGTGCGGCTGGGAGGTGTGGGTGGGAGGTGTGGCTGGGAGGTGTGGCTGGGAGGTGTGGCTGGGAGGTGTGGCTGGGAGGTGTGGCTGGGAGGTGTGGCTGGGAGGTGTGGCTGGGAGGTGTGGCTGGGAGGTGTGGCTGGGAGGTGCGGCTGGGAGGTGCGGCTGGGAGGTGCGGCTGGGAGGTGTGGCTGGGAGGTGTGGCTGGGAGGTGTGGCTGGGAGGTGTGGCTGGGAGGTGCGGCTGGGAGGTGCGGCTGGGAGGTGCGGCTGGGAGGTGCGGCTGGGAGGTGTGGCTGGGAGGTGTGGCTGGGAGGTGTGGCTGGGAGGTGTGGCTGGGTGGTGTGGCTGGGAGGTGTGGCTGGGAGGTGTGGCTGGGAGGTGTGGCTGGGAGGTGTGGCTGGGAGGTGTGGCTGGGAGGTGTGGCTGGGAGGTGTGGCTGGGAGGTGTGGCTGGGAGGTGTGGCTGGGAGGTGTGGCTGGGAGGTGTGGCTGGGAGGTGTGGCTGGGAGGTGTGGCTGGGAGGTGTGGCTGGGAGGTGTGGCTGGGAGGTGTGGCTGGGAGGTGTGGCTGGGAGGTGTGGCTGGGAGGTGTGACTGGGAGGTGTGGCAGTGGTTCCTGTGGTGGTTCCTTGTGCTGTTGGCGCTCTTCCCATTTGCTTTGCAATTTTAACCTCTCAATAAGGTAGCCTGTTCCTTCACTCATCCCGCCTCCTCCTGTCAACCCTTTCCATTTTCTCCATCTCTTGCTCTCCAACCAATCCTGTGGTTTCGTCGCAGCGATCCCGCGTTTCGTTCGGATTTGGAAGCCAAGTCAATAAGACCAGTGGTGCTACACAGCAGTGCAATCGAGAACAGGCTTGAAAAGAAGAGCCTTCTAAAGAGTCATGGCCTCTGGGTGCTCTCGGATAAATGGCAGCCATTTGCCATGGGAAGCTCCCAGAACTTTGGAGGATGAGGCACATAATTTATGTGACCGAGACCAAATACATGGGAGGTTGTACTGTATTGTAATCGTTGACATAATTATTGGCTAGTGTACCAGTACTTTCCGTTCCATGGGAAACTGTTTGCTGTTGTGATTGATCATAGCGAGTTTTGAAAGGAGAGCCTCGCATCGCAGCGCGCGTTCTCTCTAGAAGCTTCTTCTCACTTCGTCGTTTTGCCCGCCACGCCATTCGCTCTGGCGACACAGCCCAACCTCATACACATTACTTCCCTCTCCCCTCCCTCCTTCCCCATTGTTCACTGGCACTTCACGTAAAACTCGTTGAGGCTCAGTTTTGTTCGGTAGTTTTTCGTTTAGAGCAGCCATAGCGTCGCGGGTTTAAAGGGCAGAACCCGAATTGCTCAACGGAAGTCAACGCTGGAAAATAGGTTTGGGAAAGCAGCGAAAATAGGTTCGGAAACCTCCCCTAAACCCTGCTATCCCGAAACCAGCAGGAGTGCTTCACAAACTGGACCCAGTTTGTGAAGGCTTCTTTGTAATTCGGGGGCTGGGCTTTAAGTGGGTATTGTTCCCTAGAAGCTCGATCGTGACGTCGTGTCGACCAATCGGGTTGCGAGTTGCCAGCGTCGCACGACGATAGCCAATTATGACCACCAGCGCGTTAGCCGGGATTTTTGCGGAGGCTACGTTGACGGTCGACGTGGCAAAGAAGCACGTCCGCGAAGCGGCCAACGTGGCTGTTGCTGACGCTGAAAGGGTCCCGCACGTGTTGCGGCGAGCAGCTGACGTGGATGCGGACGACCCTGCCACGTGGCGCGAGCTCACGCTTCCGTCGCGAGGGCTTTCCAGGGTGAGATAAACAGGAGGCGCACTGTCCTTACAACGAGGGGATAGGATGGGCGCAAGGCAAGCGCAATGCGAGGCAATCGAGGTGACATTCTAATCGACTTAAAATTCTTCAAGCAAAAACCGCAAGGGAAGGAAAACGAAAGGCACGCGTAACGCGACCCTGTATCATGAGATCGAAAACCCCTGAACCCTGTTAAACCCCTGAACCCTGTTTAACCCTTCAACCCTGTCAACCCCTGAACCCTGTCAAACCCTTGAACCCTGTCAAACCCCTCTTATACCTTCTTCACACCCCTCTTGGATCATGTGAAAGTGAAAGGTGCCGTATCATCGTAACAGAAGCGCTTTAGCTGTCATTTCCCTTTCTAGTTCGCAACTTCAACTGTGTCTTTTCCCATTTCTCTCCTCTCGACGCTGCCTCCCCTCCACAATTCCCCCGAATTTCCCTCCGCCCTGCCGTCCTCAATCGATCCCCACTGCCAGGTGGACAGCCTCGCATCCTGCTCTGATTCTCCCCGCCTCCTCTTCTCTCCGCTTCCCCTGAACCTTTACCGCCCTGCCGTCCTCAATCGATCCCCACTGCCAGGTGGACAGCCTCGCGGCCTGCTCTCAGTTGACTCGCCTTGACTTGAGCGGAAACAACTTGACTTCGCTTGAGGTGAGCCGGGGATGAAGGAGCGGGGAGGGAAGGGAGGAGGGAAGGAAGTGGGGTAGGGGGAAAGGGAGGGGTGGTGTGGGCTGTTCCTAGTTGACTCGCCTTGACTTGAGCGGAAACAACTTGACTTCGCTTGAGGTGAGCCGGGGATGAAGGAGGGGGGAGGGAAGGGGAGGAGGGAAGGAAGTGGGGTAGGGGGGGGAGGGAAGGGGAGGAAGGGGGGAAGTGGGGGAGGGGGAAAGGGAGGGGTGGTGTGGGCTGTTCCTAGTTGACTCGCCTAGACTAGAGCGGAAACAACTTGACTTTGCTGGAGGTGAGCGAGCGCATGTGGCTGCAATCTATTCTTGCCCAACCCTGAGGGGCGAATGAACTCTATTTTGAAATACATCCTTCTCAATTAGCGATGTTTGCTGGTGGTGAGCGCATGTGGCGGCAACCTATTCGATGTTTTGAAAGACATCCTTCTCAATTAGCGATGTTTGCTTGCCCAACCCTAACCCTAAACCCAACAGTAAACCCGCTTCACCCAAAACCCCGGAATTTAAACCCCCAGCTTGCACTCGCCCCTCAGAGCCTCTCATCCTGCATCTCTCTGCACTAGTTGAACTATAGATTATCTCCTGGCTCTGCACTAGTTGAAGTATAGATTATCTCCTGGCTCGGCACTGTTTGGACACCGCCAGCAGCATCGAGTTAGGAGATGTTTCAACCACACACCCACCCCCCTCTCCTCCCTCTCCCCCCTCTCAACCCTCTCCCCCCTCTCCCCCCTCTCCCCCCTCTCCCCCCTCTCTCCCCTCTCTCCCCCCTCTCCCCCCTCTCTCCCCTCTCTCCCCCCTCTCCCCCCTCTCCCCCCTCTCTCCCCAACCCCTGCCCTCATCCCTCAGGGTCTCGCGTCCTGCGTGTCTCTGCGCTGGCTGGACATTGCTAGCAACAGCGTCTCCTCGCTTCAGCCGCTCACGTCCCTCACAGCCCTCCTGGTAGGTGTTGCCGTCAGTTCCGCATCCATCCAATAATTGACAACGTTTTTTTAATCGAATTCTAAAGATAGTCCGGTCAATGAATTAATCCCAATCTACCAACTCAAATTCATGAGTCGACTCAAAAGTCAATTCATGAGCTCGTCGTTCGTCATTCGTCGTTCTTCCCGAGTTACCATCCCGAGTTACTGCAGTGTTCTTCTTACCCGTGCCCGTTCGTCTATTAACTTCTGTCAACTCGTTCCCTCTTCAGCAGGTCCTCAGCAGGGCCAGTCACAACATGGTGCCTTACGTCTCTCTTCCCCCCTCCCACTCTCCCCTCCCGCTTGCAGGTCCTAAAAGCAAGCCACAACATGGTGGCAGACGTCTCTCCTGTCACCCGCCTGGCGAAGCTGCAGGCGCTCATTCTCAACAGTGAGCAAGCACACTCTCTTGCTGACTCAGATTTCGCTCTTGCGCGCCAACCTTGCTGGAGCGCAGTGAATGGTGTGAATGCTCATTCTCCCGAAAGACTTGTTGCACTCAATGAGTTCTGTTGTTGTTTCTCCTGGGAGGAACGGGAGGACTTGTTGCCCCACCATCCTCCCGTTCCTCCTCCACCCCCACACTTTCCCTTCCCCTTCTTGCCCCAACTCATCCCTTCCCTCCTCTCCCCACTTCCGCACCTCCTCCCCACTCTCCCATCCCTCCCCCACCCTCTCCTCTCCTCCTCTCCTCTCTCCCCCCTTCCTCCCCCCTCTCTCACCCCTCCTCCCCCCTCTCTCCCCCATCCTCCCCCCTCTCCCCCCCCTTCCTCCCTTCCCCTCCCCACTCTCCAGATAACCTGCGCGTCTCCCTGCGCAATCTAGCTCCTCTTGTTCTCTCTCTGTCCTCATTGTTCTTCCCTCCCCCTCTCCCGCCCTTCCGCCTGCCTCGCCTCCCCCCTCTCTTCCACCAGACAACCTGCTAGGCTCGCTCTGCAATCTAGCTCCTCTCACTGCCCTCAACACGCTGGGTGAGTTCCACCAACCCAACGTTTTACCCACTTAAAGGAGGGGTTTGAACTGACGGTACACCTCGTAGTACTTTCTTCCAGTGCATCACGTTGCTCGTTGTAATTCAGCACGTGTATCACGTTGCTCGTTGTAATTCAGCACGTGTATCACGTTGCTCGTTGTAATTCAGCACGTGTATCACGTTGCTCGTTGTAATTCAGCACGTGTATCACGTTGCTCGTTGTAATTCAGCACGTGTATCACGTTGCTCGTTGTAATTCAGCACGTGTATCACGTTGCTCGTTGTAATTCAGCACGTGTATCCTGTTTGTTTGTTTATCTCTTGCTCTCATGCGTATGCTCCATGTGTATTTTGAGGTGACCTTTGAGTCGACCCAAAAGTCATATTTTGTTATCATACTTGTTCCTTTGAGTCATACTTGTTATCATGCGTATGCTCCATGTGTATCTTATATCAGCATCGTTATTGCTGTCCTCCTACTCCTCCTCCTCCTCCTCCTCCCTCCTCCTCCTCCTCCTCCTCCTCCTCCTCCTCCTCCTCCTCCTCCTCCTCCTCCTCCTCCCCCCCCGCCCCTACTACTCCCCCTCTTCAACTCCCGCCACTACCTCTTTTCTGACGAGCCCCCTGCACTTCTAACCCCGTGCACTCATTCTCAACCCTTTCAACCCCTTTCAACCTCTCACATGCAGTGCTTTCCCACAATGAGCTGCCTGCTCTCGGCAACTCCTTGCGTGGCCTCTCTGCCCTCAAGAAGGTACGAGGGCAGTTCAGGTACAAGCCCTTCTTTTACTGGGGTGATCACATCACACAATGTACCCTTTCTTTACTGGGGCGATCAGTTGGGGTACCCTGTGCCATCAATCACTACCCGCTCAACCCCTCACGCACAAGAACCCTGTCTTGTACTCTTCATGTTTTCTGATTGTCTGTCTCTTGAACTCGCTCTTTCCAATACTTCGTGTGTTTTGAGTCAACTCTAGAGGTGTATTTTAATTTAAGCTCAATCCATCAATCGCCTCCGATCCGTTTTGAGACGTCTCAAAATAAATCTTCATACACGTGTCAACGTGAGGTGGTGGTGAAAGAACATCCATGAGCTACTCTACTGCGACTCTCCTGAAGGCCTGGCGTCACCTCACTGCAGCAGAGTCAACTCTAGAGGTGTATTTTAAGCTCGATCCATCTATCGCCTCCGATCCCCTTCCCTTCCTCCCCTCCCCTTCCTTCCCCTCCACTTCCCTCCACTCCCCCCTCTCCTCCCCTCCCTCCCCTCCCCTGCCCTCCCTTCCCCCTCCCATTCTTCCCTCACACCTCTTCATCCATGCATGCGTGCCATATCTGATCGTACCAAATCTGCCCCCCCTCCTCCATCCACCCCTGCAGCTCTCCCTGTCCAGCAACGGTCTCACATCGCTCACCAACGATCTCAGCGGATGCATGTCACTGGAGGAGCTGCGTCTGGCACACAACCACATCTCGGTGCGTGTGATGCGAATGAACAGCTGTGCCCGTATGCAGTTAACTTTTGCGCCCTGCAGAGTGAAGGTGCGCCCTGCAGAGTGAAGGTGCGCCTTGAAATTGCGGTTTACCAACGATCTCAGCGGGTGCATGTCGCTGGAGGAGCTGCGTCTGGCCCACAACCACATTTTGGTACGTGTGATGCGAATGAACAGTTGTGCCTGCATGCATGTGTTCCTCACGTCGCTCACCAACGACCTCAGCGGATGCATGTCACTGGAGGAGCTGCGTCTGGCCCACAACCACATCTCGGTGTGTATTCATGAGTTTGTAACGTATCTTATATTATAGTGTTTCTTTGTTCTCTCATATGTGAAAACATATGAGGTGACTTTTGAGTCGACTCAAAAGTCAAACTCAAAAGTCAGTCACCTCGTTATATGAGAACCCTGCTGAAAACATATGTGGAAAGTCACCTCGTTATATGTGAAAACATATGAGATCAGGAGCTGTCAAGAGAGGACAGGTGGGTTGGATATGTTCTCCTTCCCCACCTGGCCTGGAGGGTGGGACCGGATGATATGTTCCCCTCCAACTTCCCTTCATCCGGTCCCACCCTCCAGGCCCTCTCCCCTCCCGCCTGGATGAAATACAATTTAGTACATTTCGAAAGAAGCCAGTAACAGCAGTGCTTTCTGCCTTCCTTCCAACCAACCCCCATCTTCCTTTCTTCCCTCCCCCATTCGTTCCATCCCTCCAGGTCCTCTCCCCCGCCCTCTCCTCCCTCACCTCACCTGCCTTCGCATTCCCCATCTCTCCTCCAACTGAATTGCATCGCTCAAGATCCTTTTCCCTCATGAAATCCTATCAAAGCAGTTTTAGATATTCCTTTTTTTTTCTTTCTTCCATCCCCTTTCTCATCCCATCCTATTCCCCCAGGCCCTCTCTCCTGCTCCTTCCTCCCTCACCCGCGTCCGCACCCTTGATCTCTCTTCCTACCGGATTACCCCACTCAAGCTCCTCTCCCTCTCCTGTGCCTTTTTCCTTCCTTCCTCCATTCGCCCTATCCCAACAGGTCCTCTCCCCCGCCCTCTCCTCCCTCACACGCCTCCGCATCCTCGATCTCTCCTCCAACCGAATCCCCTCCCTCAAGCTCCTCTCCCTCGCCACGCTCGCTGCCTTCCCCCGCCTCTCCTCCCTCTCTGTCCGCGGCAACCCTCTGCTAGGGGACAATCCTTCCAAGGTTGAAGCCCAGGTGAGACCAAAGCCCAGGTGAGACCAAAGCCCAGGTGAGACCAAAGCCCAGGTGAGTTTTGAAACATTACAGAACGCAAGTGAGAACAAGTTGCGTCTTCCTCCCCCTCCCTCGTACCTTCCTCAATCATCTCTTGCGTCTCAACTTTGGATTCTCAAGCACGTGCCCTCAGCCTTGCTTACGACTGTTGGGGGTTGTTGAGTCGACTCAATGTTTCCCTACTGCTTCCCTCTCTGTCCCCCCAACTTTTCACCCCCCTCCCCCCCCGCCCCACTTACCCACACCAGATTCTCACGCACCTGCCTCGCTTGCGACTGTTAGATTCGCGAAAGGTGGGGAAGGGAGGAGGGAGGGGGCGAGAGGCAGAGGGGGCTGGGCAGGAGTGTGAGGTTCTGGGTGATAGCAGCGGAGATGCTACTATGGAGGATGAGGAGGCGAAAGAAACGAAGGGAGAGGCGGGGAAAGGGAAGAAGAATGGGCAGAAGAAGAAGCAGGGGAGTGAACAGGGGGAGGAAGAGGGGCAGAAGCAGGAGGAAGGGGGAAAGGAGGGGAAGCAGGAGAGGGAGAAGACTGCAGAGGTGGTTAAGGAGAAAGGAGAAGAGACTCACAGTGCTGCTGCTGGTGCTCGTGCTGTTGCTGGTGCTGCTGGTGATGCTGCAGCGGAGGCGGCGGGGAAGAGCGCGAGGAGAGACAAGGCCAGGGCGGAAGTGGAGGCGAAGGTGATGCATGGGAGTGAACTGCTGCTGCCTGTGATGGTGGACAGGAAGGGAGGGAAGAGGGAGGTGAAGGGGGGAAATGAGGGAAAGGAAGGGGAAGCGAAGAGAGAAGGGAAGAAAGGAGGGGATGGGAAATGGGAGGTTGCGAAGGGGGTGAAGAGAAAGTCAGAAGTGGTGGTGGGGAGTGGGGTGGGGAAAGTGGAGGAGGACGGTGTGTGGATGGCAGAAGGCAGGGCAGGGTTGCCAGAGATTAAGGCAGGGAATGTCAGGGTAACAGAGAAGGTGAAGGGAATGGAGAAGATGGGGAAGAAAGGAGGCATAGCGAAGGCGTTGAAGAGTGAGTGGATTGACACGATTGGGGAGGGAGGAGAGTCAGCTTGGGACTGATTGGGCTTGTTTGCGATGTCCGTGCATGTTCAACGGATGACAGATTTATGTTGCAGGTTGAGTTTACAAGCGCCTCAAAAAATTAAAGCTGTAAGAGGTTGCTTGTGAGAGGTTAGGATTGTTGTCATCAAGCGATTGAAGGGAGTAGTTAGGCCAAGTGGTTCAAGGAATAGCCCTTCTCTAGTTTGACAGATTTAATCACCTTTTGTGTAACTATCTGCTTGTTCCACCATCTGGATTGAGGGTAGTTTATTTTCACCAGAGACGATGTTTTTCTTTGGTTCACCTAGTACTTCATTAATAACAAGGCTTCATTCATGCTCATTGGAAAAGCTTGACACTTGGAGCCTTTACCATGTACCCTCTGTTTTGTATTTGCATGTGCAAATATCGGAAGTACCTACAAAGCAGACGAAAATGTTGGAAACAGAACCATGATTGCGGAACCCTAGCTGCTCAGAAGCGTAATTCCCTAGAACCTTATTTGCGGGAGTGGCGATAGACATTTGAAGTCAGGTCAGGACGGAGCAGAGACCAGCGTCCGCCGCAGTCGCGTTCGCCCGCCGCTGTGAAGCGGCGATTTCAGTGTTAAACGAATCACAATGACGGAACCGAACGGAGACATTCTCGAGCAGCCTCGAGCTCATCTCACGGCAGCAAGTCCGTCCAGTTTCACCCGTCATTCAGTCAACCACAAGGAGAACCCCCTTATTTTGTGCACGAGCCGCTTCCTATTCCACTGGCAGCGGGCGATCACGCGACCCGTATATTTTTGGGCAGCTACAGTTGAGCCTGCTGCCCAGAAATTCCGTGAATTTAGATGAACGAGCCACAATGTTGTCAATCGAGAGTGTCGGACTTCGAGGCTTGGCTTGAAGGACAAGACTCAGACTACTCTTGTTGGCGGGCCATTTGCCGGGCTTCGAGGTTCGGCTGGGAGCAGCAACCTCGACCTCCTCCTATTGGCTGGCCAAAACATCCGTGGTTTGGCCCCTAATACAGAGCAAAACCAGAGCACTTTTCGGGGTGTTCTTTTCTTTTGCCTTTCTTCGCCGTTCGGGCAGCATGCTTGCTTCCTCCGGAGCCTCGAGAGTTGCTTGTTCGCCAGTCGAGCTGCATCCACTCTTCCCTCCGCCTGGGAGCCTCCTCCTTTCCCAAACAATACAAAGCTTCTCTTCATTCCCACCACAACATCAGTTGCAAATTCCTTATTCCTTCAACTCTCAGACTCAGCTTCTAGCTCCTCAGGAACTTCGATAAGCTTCAGTTTGTAGCTTCGGCTCTCGTTTCGCCTGTGCTCTTAGCCTCTCACTCTGAGTGCGATGACATCTCTGACCACCCCGTCTCTTGTAGGATCCGCGAGCTATTCTGCGGTGTGCGGCATCAGCAGCAGCTTCAGCCGCCACGCTAACGTCCTGAAGATGTGGCGGCGCGCGATTGCATGGCGCGTGGGGCGCTTCAGCGAGAAAGAGCAGTGCGCTCTGCGCTCCCCCTGTGCGTCGCTCGGCTTCTCCCCTCTGCGACACAAGCCTGTGGCTAAGCCGCCCAGCAAGAAGCCCAGGCCTAGGGATGTGATGGGTACCGCTACTGCTGTGAAGCCTAGAGCGGTGCACAGCGGTCAAGCGACCGTCGCAGCTGCAACAGCCAAAGCCACGCCAGCCAAGGCGACGGAAGCTAAGCCGACGTCAGTTAAGGCGACGCCAGCCAAGGCGACGCTGGCTAAGGCGACGGAAGCTAAGGTGACGTTAGCTAAGGTGCCGTTAGCTAAGGCCACGCCAGCTAAAGCCACGCCAGCTAAGGCGACGCCAGCCAAGGCGACGCCAGCCAAGGCGACGCCAGCTAAGGCGACGACAGCTAAGGTGACGCCAGCTAAGGCGACGCCAGCTAAGGTGACGCCAGCGAAGGCGACACTTGCAAGCCATACTGCTGCGGTAGGTACGAAGGCTGCAGGTGCAAGCAGCCGAGCAGCAGCACCAGCAGCAGCCGCACCAGCTGCAGCTGACGGAATTGGAACTGAACTGATTGATTAAGAAAGAAGGCACTAGGCCTTAAGTACAAACGAGGTTGGGATGGGCAAGGCTAGGGAAAGGATGGGATGGGAATCCTAGCAAATCTCCAATAGGTGAGTTGGCAGATTTGCAGGATTACGAGGGAATCCCAACCAGATAGGGTTGGGATCACAAACTACACGCAACCCACAAATAACCTACGCGATGTAGAATATAGTACACAAAGTGTTGACAGCCTAATTCTAACACATTTTTTAGGTTGCAACACATCAGCCACAAGGAGGCCCAACACCCATGGCCGAGAGGAGGCGGTAATGATCCTCGCGAACAAGCGACTTGGTAAACAAGTCAGCAAGGTTGCAGTCAGAGGCAATGTGTTCAGCCTTCAGCTGCTCGCGCTGCACCAGCTCCCGAAGAAAGTAGTGATGGACTTCAATGTGCTTGGTGCGGCCATGGAAAACGGGGTCTTTGGTGAGATGAATGGTGCTCTCGTTGTCACACCAAAGCGTTGGGGCTGGTTGGGGATACCCCAGTTCTGTCAGCAGGAAGGAGAGCCAACGGGCCTCCTGTGCAGCCATGGTCCCGGCATACAGCTCTGCCTCACAGGTCGACAGTGAGACGGAGGACGACCGAGTGGAGCGCCAACTTACAACCCCACTGCCAAGGGTAAAGCAATACCCTTGGGACGAGCGCCGATCACTCTGGTCATCAGCATAGGATGAGTCACTGTACCCCTCAAGGCGAACCGGGGAAGTGCCGCCAAGTGTGAGCACATAATCCTGTGTGCCTTTGAGATAGCGAAGAACCCGCTTGGCGGCAGACCAGTGGTGGCGAGTGAAGCGACCAGGTGCAACGTAGCGGGACAGTACACTGAGTGGATAGGCTAAGTCTGGTCGAGTGCACATCATCGCGTACATGAGGGATCCCACAAGCTCGGGGTAAGGCTCGTCACAGGGCTCAGTGAGGGAACGGAGGGTGCAGTGAGTTGGTGTTGCAGAGAGAGTGGGGTGGGCATTGATGCTGCTTCCTGCATTTGGAACCTCGTCAGAACGTTGTTGATGTAAAACTTCTGCGAAAGGGTGATGGTGCGGGCTGTGCGATCACGTGTGATTTCCATTCCCAAATAGTTCGTCAGCTTCCCAAGGTCCTTCATGGCCAGCTTCTCACCAAGTGCGGTTTTGACTGCTGCCAGCTCAGTCTGATCCTTGGTGACAAGGATCATGTCATCGACATAAACGAGGATGAAGAACCGGGAGGGTGTTGCTCGGATGAAGAGGCTGGGGTCAGAGGTGGATGGGTGAAAGCCGAGGGACCCTAAGGTGCTCTTTAGCTTGTTGTGCCATTCCCGGGGAGCTTGCTTGAGGCCATACACTGGCCGATTCAGCTTCCATACAGTGCCTGGTGGAAAAGGAGTTGGAAATCCTTCGGGCCGCTCCATATAGATTTCCTCTCGAAGGATCCCTTGCAGGAACGCAGAAGACACACCCATGCAGTCAACCTCCATGTCATCTTGAGCAGCGACATCGAGTAGAGCGCGCAGTGTGGGAGGTTTGGCGGTGGGAGAGAATGTCTCAAAGAAGTCCAGTCCACGCTTTTGGGTAAATCCCTTGGTACAGTACCGGGCTTTGAAGACAGGGAATTCGCCTGGAAGTTGTTTCACCCGAAAGACCCATTTTCCCTTCACAATGTTAACGCCGGAGGGAGGAGAGACGTCTGTGAAAGTTCCTGTGTGAATGAAGGCCTCACATTCTACGACAATGGCCCCCATCCACTGAGCGGCGTGAGGACCAGAGACTGCTTCAGCATAGGTGAGAGGTGTGGGGATGGAAGGGTTGTCGGAGAAATTGAGGGTGGGAGAGTCTGCGATGTCTGGAAAGAGGGAGCATAGTGCGTGGATGGCTGAGTCGATATCAATCAACTCCTCATGTCTGTCTTCAAGGAGGGATGGCATGAGAGAATAATCACCCTCGACAGGAGGAGGATTGAGAGAGACGCGAACGGAAAGGGAGAACGGTTGTGGAGGTGTGCGAGAGCGGGTGCGAGAAGCGATGGGTGAGGGAGGCGGGGCCGGAGTAGGAGGGGAGGTGGGGGTGGGAGGGAGAGTGGAGACAGGATCGGGATCAGGGGTGGGAGCAGGAGGAGGAGGAGCTGGGTGACGGCGTTGGTAGGTTTTGAGAGGAACGGGCTCGGTAGGAGGAGATGCGAGAGGAGATGGAGGATGGGTAGCGGAGGAGGGAGGGAGCGAGGGAGACTGTGTGGTACTGGAGGGGGAAGCGGGTGATGGGGGATCAGAAATGGTGGAGGGAGCGGGAAGAGGAGGAGATGTAGTGTCGGGAAGAGGGAGACTGTCAAAGTCAGCCCAAGTAAGAGAGGGAGGCGGAGGAGAGGGGGAAGCCTTGGAGGAGGGGTAGAATGGGTGGGACTCATCAAAGTAAACGTCCCGGCTGCGATAGAGCTTGTTGGTGGAAGGATGGAGGAAGAGATAGTCGGGCAAGTCTAAGTTGTGCCCGAGGTATACGCACGTGATCGTTTTGGGAGGAAGTTTGCCGCCAGCCGCATGACGGGCTTGGGAGTTGAGGAGGACATAAGAAGTGCACCCCCATACACGAAGAGGGAGGACAGATGGCTTTTGACCCGTCCATAGCTCAGCGGGGGTGGTGTGGGTGTGATGAGAATGGGGATGGAGATTGTGGAGGGCGGCAGCATGAAGCATGGCGTACCCCCAGAGAGAGGGAGGGGCGGAGGCGTGCGTGAGGAGGCAGCGAGCAATCTGCACCAATGTACGGTTCCGACTTTCGGCAATACCGTTCTGTTGGGGACTGTCTGGGAGAGTGAAGGTCTGACGGATACCCTCAGTGGAGCAGTAAGCTTTGAGAGTGTTGTTGCGGAATTCACCGCCGCCGTCAGAGTGAAGGACCTTGATGGTGGTTTTGAAGTGTTTATGAGCCTGCTTCGCCCATTCAATGATTACGCTTGGGGCTTCGGATTTGG